GATAGGTATTGAGAATTATATGTTTGTCGTATTTATTTTTAGGTTAATCAGGTCTTTTAGATACATAGAGATTATATTTAGTATAGATAGTATAATCTTCAGCCTCTTTGAAGAGCTGTAGAAAATGGCCTTTAATCTAACCTAGAATTCTGTGCCAACGAGACACAATTACTCCTGGCAACACCACTTTACTCCCGAGAGAACGTTGAGCACCAAAAGACTCCACTGGGAGATTGTCTTCTTGGCAGAACTGGCCTTTGGGTTAAGAAAAGCCCATACCTCAACTACTGACTAAGATATGAAACAGGATTGTCTTATCTTGCCAAGACAGGGTAGGATTATTCTAAGAAAGTTCCTTGCATTTGATAATGGTATGTCAGTTATGTTAGGCCTTAGCCAAAGTTGGTTGACTCAACATTGCAAATGAGATTTTGGGTGATTGTCCAGGTAGTCAGTTGTCTCTGTCATTTGTTGCACATTTTGGATATCTCTCGTTTGTTAAGTAATATTTATTCCCTTCTCAGATCTTTGATGGAGTTGAAGATTATTTAATTGTAGTTACTCTCTACATTATTTAGACTCCTTGAGATAGAATGTCTAGCAAAACTTTTGTTCTCAATATTGTTTGTTATATTTATCATTTGTTATTATTGTTTATAGTTATATTTGGTTTAGTTCTGTCTTATTTAGACAAAAGGGGGAGATGTAGGGTTAAGCCAGCCCCTTTAGGGGGCGGGTTTGCCTCGGGCAAATGCATATGGATAAATCGGGTGCGCAGGAGGCGGCTTGTCCCTTTTCCTGCCTCCTGTGAAACAGCTACGCGGGAACCTCGGTTCTGTAAGTTTATTTAAACATTAAAGTTGTATATATTCTTTAATATCTGCCTTGCATTTATTTATGCCGATACAACAATCTTAATGTTTTCTGCCATCATCCTGATGCAGACAAACTATATAGCTTCTGTATTCAATTATAAAAGCCGGCTTCTAGCTTCCCCCTCCCATACCTGGCCCATGACAGAAGCCCGACAGGAAACTAGGTTATCACTTACTGCTGATAGGTTTCCACGTGGCAGGGTGCAGAAATTTTAAAGCTAGACAGCGCTGAGGGCTGCATAACATTGAAAACACACTTGGCACTGCTCAGATACTTGGAATTTAAAATTTAAACTGTAATAGTCAAACTAACGCTACACATATTTGCTGCAATTATTTCTTTAAAATCTTTGAGTGATATGTAAAAGCTCCAGTTGAATTCTCTGCTTAGTAACCTTCCCTGGTGCCATCTTCACTGCTGCAGTAAAGCTATACCCACAGCTTGCGTTCTCAGCCATAGGCAGCACACTCCTAGGCTTTCGCTGTTTTTCTACTTGCTCCTGTGTTCAAGGATCTCTCAAGGCTTCAGGTTCACTCATCTTCCTTTCACCTACATCCTTCCAAGGATTTCATTCAGTCCCAACATGTAAATGCTACCTTTTCTACGAAAGCTGATTTACTTACACGTGTGTCTGTAGAAAGGGGCAAGTGACATTGTTATACCTTCCTGTATACAGACATATAAAACCTCCAGCCCGAAATTCTAGCCTGTCGAATTTAATATGTCAAAGGTGACTTCTGCAATATCCCAACCCTGCCAAGTCATAATCCTGTAAATTTATCCCATTTCAATAAGTCATATCTAGTCTAGCAGACCAAAACCTAAGCAATCACTGTGGTGACTCTGCTCACACTGCTTTCAACCCCCTCAATGAGCCCCCTCAGCTCTGCTTCAATTTTATTCCCAGCAACCGCTCTCTCTATTCACCATGCCAATCAAAGGTGACTGTTCATCAGTCAAATACTCTAAAGGTGCTGTCCTACAGAGCCAGCAGGAAAAATCACTTACAACACTCACCGTGTCTTAGAATACTCTGATTATCAAACTGAGAGTTAACACATGCATTCAGAATGAAATAAAAATTCATTTCCATAAAATTCATCTGTGATTCTCTCCCTCGTTCACCACATTCATTCACAAAAGTCATCCTGGCCTTCCTTCTTGCCCTGAAATACATCTAGTTAAGCCCTGCTTCCATTGACTATTCCCTAAGCTTTCAACAGTTTCTCTCCACAGGGCAGTTCCTTCTTATCCTTCAGGTGTCAACTCAAAATGTTAGTTTTTCAAGAAGGCCTTCTCTGACTATGAAAATAGGAGAGTCTCTCCTTCCTCAAATTAATGGGTTTTCTTTGTAGGACTTTAAAATGTCTGATTTTCTATTGTACATTTTGTAACTGACCTTACCATATGAAAGAAACATTGCTTTGTGAGGACAGTGGTTTTGTCTATTACTATTTGTTTGATATTACTGGTATCAAACAAGTTCTCAATTGCTCCTTAATTGACTAAATGAACAGTGGGGGAAAATGGGAATAAATTCTCCTTTAAAATAGGTTGAGTCGGGCAGTGGTAACACATGCCTTTAATCCCAGCACTTGGGAGGCAGAGGCAGGAGGATCTCTGTGAGTTCAAGGCCAGCCTGGTCTACAAAGTGAGTTCCAGGACAGGCTCCAAAGCTATATAGAGAAACCCTGTTCCAGGAGAAAAAAGTAATAATAAAGCCTGAATGAAATTCAACCAACTTACAAAATGTTTTCAAATACCAGGGAGAAAGGCGAAGAAGTTAGAATTAATGATTAAATTTTCAAAGTATAGTATACTTTTCAGCATCTCAAAATAACATAGTAAGTGTTTTGAAATATACCCTATACTAATAAACAAATACATACATACATACATACATACATATATATCTGCATATATGCTAATAAGAGCTTCACAAAGCTTTGGTCCTGCAGGGCCTCACACATGTTAGGGACATTGTTTAACACTGACTTAAACCCAGCCCACGCACATGTTAGGGACACTGTTTAACACTGACTTACAACCCAGCCCAATTGTGTTTTAAATATTGTAGTAACCCTTTTAAAAAGTATTCTGGTCAGGTGGTGGTGGCTCATGCCTTTAATGCCAGCACTCAAGAGAAAGATGTAGGCAGATCTCTGTGAGTTCAAGGCCAGCCTGGTCTACAAGAGCTAGCTCCAGGACAGGCTCCAAAGCTATAGAGAAACTCTGTCTCAAAAAACCAAAAAAAGAAAAAAAAGTATTCTGGGAAAGGGACTGGAGAGATGGCTCAACCTTTAAAGGACAAAAAGTATCCTGGGAAAGACAAGCACTATCCTACTGTACGAATTTGCAGATAGAAAAGGCATAATGAGGCTGAGGATGGGGACCACTCCTCTAATCCTAGCACTCTAGAGACAGAGGCAGAGGAATTTCTTTAAGTCTGAGGTGACCAGGGCCTACACAGTTCGATGACTTTCTGTAAGTCTGAGGTGACCAGGGCCTACACAGTTAGTTTCAGGCCAGCCAGGACTAACCTGTGAGACCGACTCAAAAACTTAGTAAGAGGAGCTGGGCAGTGGTGGTGCCCACTTTAATCCCAGCACTTGGTAGGCAGAAGCAGGCGGATCTCTGAATTAGAAGACAGCCTGGTCTACAGAATGAGTTCCAGGACAGCCAGAACTATACAGGGGAATTCGGTCTCAGAAAACCAAATTTAATTTTAAAAAAATACATAAATAAATGAGAGATTGAATGAATGAAGACATAATGACTTTTTCCATCTTGATGATGACTCACCTAATCAATGTACTACACCATTTCACAAGTGAAAACTATATTATTGCTTTCAAAATTACCATTAACATATTACTGTTCTCAGAAACACATAAAAAGGGTAAGAGATTAAAAATTAGTTAGGGCTATCAATACTTAGAAACTCTAACTTCTTCAGATTTTCAAGTTAACAATCAAACTATCATTTCCCAGAATGTAAAGATCTTTCCCCATATACATTAGAACACCAGGGATTCTGAGGTAAACTCATTCCCTTGACACCATGAGAAATACCATTACATGAAGTCAAGGATATTGCATCACAGAAAACAAACCCCTTTTTCTTAACAATTTGATCAACATAGTAGAAAAGAAAATCACTTAACTTTCTCTGGATGTGGTTAATAATAGTAATCGAATGACAAGGGTCACAATTTGATACAAGCTACAGTTATCTGGCCAGAAAAACCTCAGCTGAGAAAACGCCTCCATCCCGACTGCCTACAGGAGCCGAAAGGGCATCTTCTTGATTGATGCACAGTGTAGGGGAGCTCAGCCCGCAGTGCCATGCCTGGGTGGGCGGTTCTGAGGTGGATAAGACCTGACTTTCCTCGGTGATAAAGCTTGAAATGAAAGCTGCAAGCTGAACTAAACCCTAACTCGCCAAATTACTTTTGGTCATGGTCTTTTATCACAGCAACAGAAACTCTGAGACAGAAAGCAATAATGAAAAACATAATAGTGACATTTCATACTTATGAATAAAATCAAGAAGAAATGAAAAATTCATAAAAGAATTAGTCAAACATGAATCACACAAAAAACTCTGATCTATTATTATTCTACTATATTTTCACTATTAAGGATGTCAAAGAAAGGAAAAGTACATAAAATTTCGCACCTACTTCCACTATTACCTATTCTAACATTACAATTTTTTATTGTTTTAATTCAGTAAGACTTATAGGAATACTCATATATGCAAGCCTGTTTTGAGCATTTTCCTCAATCGTTTAATCCTTAAGATAACATCATTTAGGTACACATAGTGTATCTGTTACAAATAGGAAAATACAGCAGAGCAAAGCTAACCACCTTGCCCAAGAAGTGATCTGAACCTAGATGGCTTAACTCAAGGATCAGTAATGAGGGTTTAAGTTTTCCTAGTACACTGCCACCTCATCCATTTTCACGTCATCTGTTGGTTGCTTTAGATCTGGTCAAGCTCAGTAGCTACAACAGAGTCTGTATGGACAACAAAACCTTCTAGTCAACCCTCCAGCTCAAAAAAGCTTGTGGGTCTCTAACCCAGTTCCATCTAACAGTAATAAATAATGATAATATACCTTCCAAAGACTCAATCCCAGTTGCTTGCGCCAATAAATCTTCATGTCTTGCAACAACCTAAAGAAATCAAGAATAAAAAAAAAAAATCAGCATTTGCTCTGCTTAACTATCTTTAACACTACAGGGTACAATCCAAGGTCTCTCTTGATATATAAAGCAAACAGATACTATACACATACACACATACATGTGCAAGTTATGAGGTGTGCTTGAGATGAACGCATAAATCACAATACAGAGCAAAAGAACATAGTGCTAACTCTGCCTTGGTCTGTTTGGTGTGGGAGCCCATAGAAGTGGCTCTGCTACATCTTGATATAAGGTCCGATGTTGGCTGAGGTTGCTGCCCCACCCAGTCCCAGAATAAACCCACAGAAATTTGTATTAATTGCAATACTGTTTGGCCAATAGCTTAAGCGTATTTCTAGCTATCTCTTACATCTTAATTAACCCATTTCTATTATTTTATATTTTACCATGAGGATTGTGGTAAGGTTCTGGCTGGCAGCTACATGGCTTCTCCCTGACTCCACCTACTCTCTCTCTCTCTTTCAGCCTTGCTTTACTCTGCTAAGCCATTGGCCAAAAGCAGCATCTTTATTAACCAACAGCAATAAATACATTCACAGCATACATCACCTCCCACATCACCTCCCCTTTCCTGTCTAAATTAAAAGGAAGGTTTTAACTTTAACATAGCAAGATTACATATAACAAGACAGGTATCAAGCAAGAATTACAGTTACAATAATTATATCTACTTTATCTTTTATTATAACTAAGGAAAACTATAATTATAACTATCTATTCTTCAACTCCATCAAAGACTTCAGAAGGATATAATATTACCAAAGTAAACAGAAAATGCATTGTAAGCAACTTCCAAAACTCTAGAATTGACAGAGACATCTCGCTGCCTGGACAGTCACCCAAAGTTCTTCTGTAACATTGGGGCACCCATCTTCAGCCTCCAGGCTCATAGTATCCAAAAGACTTTTCCTTGAAGCAGGAAATTTCAAAGACAGTTCCACCTATATTGGCAGTTTGCCAGTCACTTTCTTCTGTGTCCTGCAGAATGTCTTGCAGACTCGTTGATGAAGTAGGAACACCAAAGGAAGGTCTAACCTTTATGCAAGTCCAGCAGTCATTTTTCTGTGGGTCCTGCAAGTCCAGTCAAGCAGTTCAGGCAAGAGCAGTTTCTTGCCCAAATGGCAAACAGACTCCATATGGAGCCTCTTCAATGCCCATCTTCCTCTCGAAGTAACTGGTGCTGCCAGGAGCAGATAAGTCTCATTGTCAAAAAAAAAAAAAAATCCTAAGTTTTTAAAATACTTTAAATGCCATATTCTGAAGGTCTCTGAAAGATTTGAAGAATACCTATCTAACTGAAATATATCTCTATATATCCAGAAAACCCAACATGACTACAAACTTGACTATTATAGATGATTACCTATTAACCTATATTTCTTAATTATACATTACATTTTTAAATGAGCCACACAAATACAATACCTTAATCAAGAGCAGAAATATATATATGACAAAATTGATCTTAAATTTGTATCACTAAACCATGATCCATACCAATGCTAAGTTTCTATCTCTATAGCATATCCCCTTTAAATGTAAAGAAACATTTATAAACAACATTTGGGAATTTGGGTGTAGTTCTCTCCAAACTGTTTCCTGCTTTTGGATGGGTGAAGTAATTTGGGGGAGGGGGATTTACGGTAACCTTTCAGGGGGTCTGGAAGAAATAAACAGGTTCTCATCCTTGGTGGAAACAAAAGCAGAAGCTCTTTTCCAAAGCAACATATCCTTAGAGCCAAATTTTGAAGTCTAGATATCTTTAAAGTATATATGGTGATTTAGTTTAGCAGTACATACAATGAAATGTCTCTCTGCACTTGGCTCATTCAGTCAAAAATTCAAAGAAAACACAATAATATACACCAAGACCAGCTGGACTGTGACTGAAAAAGCATGGGATAAAACTGGACTCTCTGAACATGGCGAACAATGAGGGCTGATGAGACGCAAAGGACAATGGCACAGGGGTTTGATCCTACGTAATGTGATGGCTTTGTGGGAGCCTAGCCAGTTTGGATGTTCACCTTCCTAGATATGGACGGAGGTGGGAGGTCCTAGGTCTTACCACAGGGCAGAAAACCCTGACTGCTCTTTGGACTGGAGAGGGAGGGGGAAAGGAGTGGGGGAAGGGGGAGAAGGGTGGGAGGAGGGGGCATAGGGTGGGATGAGGGGGAGGGAAATGGGAGGCTGGGAGGAGGTGGAAACTTGTTTTTTTTTCTCCTTTTCTCAATAAAAAAAATATACATAATCCAGACTCTCTGTGTATTTTCTATTTTTAAGTGGCTTATTTTTCTTTACTCCTTTTAATTTATGACTGTTTGTACTCTATCTCTTTAAAAACTTTACCTTTTCAAAAAAACATTTACATCTTTTTATAACTATCTATATTCTTATTCTTTTCTCTCCCAAACCTATATACATTTATCCAACACTGTGACCCATTTGTAGGTTTTTTTTTTAACTGAATCTGTCTTTATTGTGTATATGTAATTATTTTCTGACCAGAAGCGCCTTTTTTATTGCTAAGCAGGCATGACTAGGACCAACTCCAGGTCCTGCGTGTTTACTCTGCCCAGTCCAAGATGGCAGAGGTCCATTCACCACCTCTGAGACTGCCGGGTGGAAGCCACGCTCACCACCTCAACTCTGGTAACTAGTTGGCCCATGCTGCCACCAAGTAACTTATAGCACACTGCCCACAAACCCCATTCAAGTGCTCAGCCTCCTGAAAGAGCCAGAGTTCATGCTGGCAGCACAGACCAGGAAGCCACCTTTAGAAACTGCACAGGGTTTTTTTGTTTGTTTGTTTTTTGCTACCACTAAATTGGGAAGACCTCTCTTAAAGGAGTTGCAGCAGCCCTGCTCACTGCCAGTGAACAGAGCACCTCCAGAAAAAAAAATGTGGCTAAACGTTGTTTTTTAGTGTCCAGAATTCCTTTCAAAGCCCTCTCAGGTTTTATATGAATTTAGCCAGCACAGGTTGGAGTGCCAATCTGTTGGCTGAGGTTGCTGTCCTACCCATCCCGCAATAATCAGAGTTCAAGCCTATTATTACTCTTTCAAGGTCACACAACAGAATGTCTGGCCCAAGGTGAAGTTGCTGTACATCTTGCCTGGGTAATAGGATGTTTTGACCTAGGGTGTGCTTATTTTAAGTTTTGGGTACTAAGAATGTAACTACTTTGTTCTTTGTATCTGGGTTAAAAAAAAAAAAAGCCTTTTCCCTTCCCCCTCCTTTCTGTATTGGGTATATAAAGGATATGAGAAATAAACACGAGGCAGATTCAGTAGTCATTGAAACACCCTCCCAGATCTGTTCTCAGTCTCACATCTATTTCTTCCTTAATCCACACTCCTCAAGAATGTATGGACAAGTCAGCTGGACCAAGACAATTTGGGGTACAACAAAGTACTATATCACAGCCCAGACAATAAACAAGAGATTCATCATCATAGTTTTGAAGGCTCAAGTCCAAGATCAAGTGTAGGCAACCAGCATCCATCCATCATCTGCGGTGCCTTCTGTGTCCTGACATAGACGAAAGGTGAATAATCTCCTGTGGGGCTCTGCCAGTTTAGCAAGGTCCTAATTACCTCCCCAAAACCCACCTCTCCAAATTATCACACCGGGGATGGTTTCAATATGTGAACTGTAAGGTAAAAAAGGCCAAGGGAAAATGAGCCCTACCTGACTAGACCTGAGACCTGGGCCAAGAAAAAACACCATGACCCTGACTTGACCCTAGGACCAGGGCTTGAAATTGGACCAATGCCTGAGCTTGCTCCAGAGTTAGGCTGCAGAATTTCACCAGTTCCTCAGCACAGAATCCCACCAATCTCTGGGGTCCTTGAACACAGAATCCCAACAATCCCTGAGCATGAAATCCTATCAATCCCTGAGCTTGCCCCAGAATCAGGCTACAAAAATCTACCAATCCAAAGACACCCTGGAAAGGACACACACCCCAAGAAATCCTTTATAAGGTCTTTGCTGCTGTTTCTCGCCCAAGGCAGCCATCTTCCTTTCAAATAAATCTCTTGAATGAGGTTTGTTGTGTGGTGTGACATTTTCTCCAGAGCTTGTAACAAATTTCTCTGGAGCGGAGTAGAGACACAATACCTTCCCTGGTAAACCTTCCCCTAGCAGAACAGACTTGTTACACTCCAGGAACCTGAGCAGAACAGAGCAGAATGGAACAGAGCTGTAACATTCTCAGGAGCAGAGGTGTGGGGAAACCCTCCCCTGACAGAGAAGAGTTGTTACACTGGCAGTGGGGCACCCTTTCCCTGGGGAAGAGCTGTAAGCTGTTATGCTTACAGTGACTTTGTGGTATTCCTCGGCTTCCAACTACCAGGATACCTTTCCATCGGAGCTGCAATGCTTATATGACCACATAAATATATAGGATTGCAGCTTATTTGGAAAACTGTGTGTATACTGTGCATGAGGCCCTGGGAAATACAAACTTGGGACATGGCCAATTCTCCACTTTCCTAACTGTGTAAGTAGATGACAAAATCCCTGTTGACAGGCTTTCGTATGCTTTACCTCTAGAGAATTATTTCAAAGTCAAGTTTTTCTCTATTCTTGGACTTAGGTCCCTGTGTCAAGCTCCCTGTTTAAGTCCCGAGTGGTTAGGCCCCATCCCTAAGGACCAGCCAGGTTCTGCCCACAGAACACTCTAAGGGTTGTAACAGCCTGTCTCAGCCCCTTGAGACACAGGTAGCCAAGCTCTGCCCTCAGAACAAGAAGCCCAAACTCTCTGAGCTTGAAAACCCACCAATCCCCACCACAGAAATCTCCACCCTGGAAAATTCCACCCCCAAGAAACCATATATAAGCCTGCCACCTACACAGTTCATCGCTGCTTCTCTCTCCAGCAGAGGCAGCCATCTTTCCTTTCAGAGCTGTGGGTATTTTCTGACTTCCGACTGCCAGGATATCATTTCCTTCAGAGCTGTAACACTTACAGACAGCTACCTTCCTGTTTGTTTTAGCTAGCAACCAATAACCTAAAGATTCACCAACAGCTAAAAAAAATATTGATTATATCAGTATTTAGTCACAAACAAAATTTTAGCAGTAACACAGGCGACAACACTGTGCCCTACAACTACACTTCCTTCAGTTCAACCCCTTCTACTCACCAACTCTGTAAACAACTATCTGCTAGGTACTTTTCTGCTTTCAATACCTACAGTCAATTCTAGTCCATGTGTTAAGCTGTGACATATATATTAATACTTAGAACTTTAATCATGTGGTTGATTCTTTAATTATTTTAATTGCAGTCTTTTTTTTAGCTACCATGCTCTAAATTTTTTTTCTGAAGAAAAAATAGTAGTAAGTTCAGTTCTCATACTAGACTCAGAGGCTTTGACCACACACACACACACACACACACACACACACACACGCACACAATAATTTGTATTCCTAAAGAGTGTTAATTTTAAATTCTCATCAATTCCTACCAAAGAAATACTGAATAAAAGAAGAAATATAACAATTATAAAAGTAAGACAAAATTTCAGATGTCTCTTGCAAAAACCTATCCCCTGAAACTCTGTGGTGATATTTTGTCTGTGTTTTAGCAAATAAAGCTTGCCTGAAGATCAGAACACAGAGCTAAGCCACTAGAGGCCAGGGAGTGGTAGCACATACCTTTAATCCCAGGACTTGGGAGACAGAGGCAGACAGATCTCTGTTACATCAAAGCCACCCTGGGCTACACTAGATTGAATCTGTCTAGAAGAGAAGCAGTGTTCACACAAACATGATCCCAGGACTTAGGATCACACACCTTTAATCCCAGACTAGAGAGCTGGAGACAGGAGTGATATGGCTGGGCAGAGAGAGGAATGTAAAGTGGGAAGAGACAAGAGTTTGAGCTCAGTGCAGTCTGAGGATGCAGTCTGAGCACTGGTGGAGGTAAAAGGTCTCTCAAGTGGCTGCACTGCTTCTCTGATCTCTCAGCTTTCATCCCAATATATGACTCCAGGTTTTATACATTAAGACCAATTAGAATTCGTGCTATAAAACTCTATGCAGAGTTTAAGGATATTCTCCTCTGCTCCTGTAAAACACCTTGTATCGTTCTATGTAAAAAAGTCTTCACCTGACAGTTATTTCTGTCTGTATCTGTCACTAACCTTTGGAGTCTTTAGAGAACCAAGAAATGTGTTCTCATTTCTGTATTCCATAGCCTAACACAAAACAGTATTACGTGCCTTCTAAATATTTGATATTTGTATTCTAAACATGCAATCAGAATTTTAAAGTTGAAGTGACCTTACAAGTCATCATAATCCTCTTAAGCTGTTCTTTTCATTAATAAAGAAACTCAAAAAAAGGTAAATGGGTATATCTCATTTAATGATATGAGAGATTTAGATTTCCCAGTAAACCGAGCATTTATTCACAAACTTATTCATCCATCTAAGTATGTCTTCAATAACTTCTTAAACAAAAAGTAACGTAAGGATTGTGAGACCTAGGGCTATTATAGCTCAGTTGGCAGGGTACCTGTCTGGCACATGCAAGTCCCTGTGTACAATCCCCAGTGCTACAAAACAAACAAATCAACAAAGAAGTAGACCATAGAACAATCCTACAAACTTTATCAATTATAGATGGAACATTTAAGTTTATCTACAGAAATACCTTTTTTTAAAAAACTCAAATAAATGAAGTGGTAAGAATGTCAACCACAGTGACTGCACACCTAAGCTTGGGACCGATCTCCTAAGGCTTACATGTGCTCTACGACATCACAACATTTACTGAGTTTCTATAATTTCAGCAAATGTTATACCTTGTACTTAAGAAAATATAAACACTTCCTGTGAGACATCCCAATATTACTTATTCAAATTGTTCTATTTCTAAAATTCCATTTCATTTTCCACTATAATTATCAAAGGTGTCTATTTCACCCAAAACACTCACTGTAAAATAATATTAATAAGAATAATAACAATTCTTCAGGTAATAAACAGAAAAAGCAAATGATTCCAGAAAGGTAGGTTAATTTGTTTTCAACTAATTAAAAAGTAGTTTACAGAAAACATCACAAAAATGTAATTAAAGTGATGCTGGTAAGTTAAGCATTTGTTTATGGAAATATACATTTGGCTTTAACAAAGATGAGATGACAAAGGGATAGACAGTCACTTCTGTCGAATAATCTCTCCGACCCAGAAGACGGATGTTACCTGTAAATGTAGCTCTTTATCCAACTGACTGATCCCCTGTGCAAGTTTTGCTAGTTGCTCAGCAATTACAGCTTGATGAATAGATTGAGAAGTATAAGCTTTTACATCAAAGTCTTCATTTAAAAAGTCACTGTAACAGTCTAGGAAAAAAAAAGGAAAACTTACCAACAGTTATCAAGCAACAGATCAATTATAATCAAAATTAGCATGTTTTAAGACCTTCTATGCACGAGGAACTGTTGCAGACACTACCTAGAACAATGGGGAATTGGAGCAGACTGCAGCAGACAGAAAAGATAATACTCGTGAGAGAATACTTATGTTCTGGGTGCTGCTCTAAGTCCAAGTCCTTACTCCTTCAGTCCCCACACAGTCCTGGTGTGATGTGGGATTCTCCTCTGTATCCTGTGAATGTGTTTTATTACCATTGACTAACAAAGAAGCTACTTTGGGCCTATATATAGCAGGGCACAATATACACAGGCGAGATTTCTGATATATTGAGAGAGTAGGTGGAGTCAGAGAGATGCCATGTAGCTGCCCGGGAAACTTACCGGTAAACCAAGAGTTTCGTGGTAAAATACAAAATAATAGAAATGGGTTAATTCAATATGCCTAAGTGATTGGCCAAGCAGTGTTTTAATTAATATAGTTTCTGTGTGATTATTTCAGGTCTTGGTAGCAGGGAAATGAACGAGCAGTCTCAGCATATATGATATGTGGGAAAACATAATTTTTCTCTACTTCACAGGTGCAATTTATCCAGTGTTAATATCTGAGATTCCAATACTGAAAGTAAAGACGCTGAGCCCAGGAGTCTAAACCGCTCTGCTGTTTCTTCTTTGTTGTTATTGTTTTGCTTTGCTTTTTGGTTTTTCATTTATGGGTTTATAGATTTTTATACACACACACACACCATGATTTCTTTTTCCAGACTATCTGAATGCAATTTTAAAATATTTGTATTCATAATTTAGATTCAGTTTTTATAACAGTATTTATGCACTGATCTAGAGATATCTGAAGCAACAAATATTATCAGTGGTCAGTTTTCCTGAAGCACTGTTCCTAGCAATAATCTCACTTTCCTGGAATAAAGATTAAAGTTGATAGTTGTGATTTTAATCTTTTATTCAGTGTTTTCCTTCCTTGTGATTCACCTGTATAGTATTAGTCTATATCCATTACAATACACACTCCACCAAGGGAAGTTAGTCTGTTTCCTACCACATCTCTAAGGACTAACATGGCCAGACAATGGCAGGTGTCAGATGAATTAATCTATACATCATCTCAAAGTATCATGGTGCAAAGAGCAAAACAGTCTTAACTATTCTCAGAGTCTAATTACTCTCAAACTGAAGTAATAGAATACGACTACTTTGACCCTAATTCTAAAAGTTCTATTTTCTTCCAGTTTGCCAAGTTTTCCTCAGAATTAAGAACGCTACCAGACAAATTCAGTCATTCCACACAGAAAGTTTACCACCAGGAAAAATCAAAATGGCATGTTTTGACAAGGGTAAGAATAAGTTTAGTAAAACTAGATGACAGAATTATGTATTTAGGCAGAAAATGTAAAGAAAAAAATGAAGTTTCAAAGGAAGGCTGGAGGGCAGTTTGAAAAATGCTTGCACGGTGCTCCCATGTGGGTCTCTGTCTCTGTCTCCTTTCATCGCCTGATGAAGGTTAATATTCATGAGGATGCCTATGTGTTTGTCTTTGGATTCACCTTCTTATTTAGCTTCTCTAAGAACATGAATTATAAGCTCAATGTCCTTTATTTATGGCTAGAAACCAAATATGCTCAAGGTCCAAATCAGGAGCAGAAGGAGAGAGAGCATGAACAAGGAACTCAGGACCACGAGGGGTGCACCCACACACTGAGACAATGGGGATATTCTATCGGGAACTCACCAAGGCCAGCTGGCCTAGGTCTGAAAAAGCATGGGATAAATCCGGACTAGCTGAACATAGCGGACAATGAGGAATACTGAGAACTCAAGAACAATCGCAGTGGGTTTTTGATCCTACTGCACGTACTGGCTTTGTGGGAGCCTAGGCAGTTTGGATGCTCACCTTACGAGACCTGGATAGAGGTGGGCAGTCCTTGGGCTTCCCACAGGTCAGGGAACCCTGATTGCTCTTCGAGCAGATGAGGGAGAGGGACTTGATCGGGGGAGGGGGAGGGAAATGGGAAGCGGTTGCGGGGAGAAGGCAGAAATCCTTAATAAATAAATAAATTTAAAAAAAAAAGAAAAGAAAAATGCTTACACGATGTGCAAAACAGTCAACTTATGTGCTACTGGTGGTTCTAAGCCTAGCAAGAGCACTGCCAGTCTTATATTCTACAACAATAATTCTTGCAGGAACAGAGAATAATTACAATGGGATTTGTTACACAGCAGTGTGCTTGAGTTAGTATCTACTAGTTTTTGGCAGCTAACTATTGGTGTAGGAGGTCCTTCTGTCTATGTGTGGCTTTCACTAGTTAATGAATAAAGAAACTGCCTTGGCCTAGTTGATAGGGCAGAACTTAGGTAGACAGGGGATGACAACTGAATGCTGGGAGGAAGAAAGGCAGAGTAGGAGAGCCACCATGGAGCTGCCAGAGACAGGCATGCTGAATCTTTCCCGGTAAGCCACAGCCTTGTGGCGATATACAGATTAATAGAAATGGGTTAAATTAATGTAAGAGTTAGCCAATAAGAAGCTAGAGCTAATGGGCCAAACAGTGATTCAATTAATACAGTTTCTGTGTGGTTATTTCGGGCCTAAGCTAGCTGTGCACCCAGGATGTACAAGGGCCGCCCTACCTCCTATAACTATGACATTTTCAGTTGAGTCAGACAGTATTATATGTAGGCTTTAAACCAGTTGGGATAGGGGTATTTATACCATGAAATACACAAATACCAGTGAAACCAGGCCTTTTCTTATTTTCCAAGAAAGCTGGTTTACTAATATATCTTCCCATGGAGTAGGTCAGAGAGGTCAGAAAAGCACAGCACTATGTTAACAGCCCAAGTGACATGAGATACAATAAGTGTGTGTCACTTAAGAATGTTAGGCAAGTGTCAAATTTGGCAAATGTTTGGACATGGCAATGAGTAGAACTTGATAAGATGAAATGGTGATTAGTAGAAGAAACCAAAGATAATTCCCAAGTTTCTTTAAATAGTGGAATAGTCTTTATCTGATATGAGGAATTTAATTCTGCATTAAGCTGAATGCCCTAGGCGTTAAATATACAAAGATGAGAAACAAACTGCCTCCGAGAGCCTCACAACCTAAGTACCAACATTCAGTTAAATACAATAGTAAGTACTAACTGTGACAATTAGAAAAAAGATTCAAGAATAGGAAGACATTTACTTTGCTTAATGTTTTCATAGAATATGTACTATTTGTTAATATGCTGTTTACTATCAAGACAGGAATATTAGTAGGCAGTTAAAAAATATAGTTCTTTAATTTAGAAGAGAAGTAAGGAGAATTTGTCTTACTTTGCTTTTCTGTTGTGATAAAACAGTGATCCTTATAGAGGAAACGGTTTATTTTAGTTTACAAATAATAGTCCATAATCAAGAAAAACAAAGATAGTAGCTCAAAGCAAGCACCTCAAGGCAGGAACTGAAGCAGAAACCATAAAGGACCATTGATTAATGGCTTGCTCCCCCAGGCTTTATCAGCTATTTTATTTAATTTTCACCTGTCTAGAGAGGGCACCACCCAGAGTAAGCTAGACCCTACTGCATCAACTAGCAATTAAGAAAATGTCCCAACCTGTGGCCTTGTTGGAGTCTGGGGGCTATGCTGCAGCCAGGGCCACACAGACCTGGGTGGTCTGTGTTGCCACCCAGGGCCATGGTGTTGTCCAGGCCAAAGGTCATGTCTGGGTCTGTGGCCCTATAGCAGCCAGGGTCTGTGTTAATGTCCACAGCTCCTAGTGCCATTGAAGGCCATGGGGACGCCCCAGGTCTAGGGCTATGCTGCCAATGCGGACATGTCCATCTGAGTGGCCTACACTACCACCTGGGTCAATGGTGACATCAGATCTAGCTGCTTTCCAAGAACCATGTCTGGGTCCATGGTCCAGCTGCAGCTGGGGTCTGTAGCCTGTGTTACTGCAGGGGCCCATGCGAACCATGCATGATGAAATCAGAGGGCCATACTGAGCTGGGCCCACCCTTTGCTAGCCCTGCTTCTCGCTGGATACTGCAGAAATTAACTTGGGAGAGCTGGCCCCACTCCTCTATACAGGTGAGGAAGAACTAACCCTATAAGTATGGGCATAACAGAGCTGACTCTGTGCCCTCACCTGAGGTTGGTGGCCCCAGTGGCCCAGACTAACCAGTGCTGCTATCATCCAGGCCCAGAGCCCTGCCTTAGGGTGGCCCACCCTAACATATACCCCATCTAGGACCTGTTGGAGCTTGAGAAGGGACTGATGCTGTGCAACAATACCCACAGGATTTCCATGACTTGGGGTAGCTGTGGGATATCCTGTAGTCAGGGGCTGCTCTTTTGTTTCCCGGCTGCCCAGATCCAAAAAAATCTGAAAAAACTGAAACTATATTAATTGCAACACTGCTTGGCCAGTGACTTTAGCGTATTTCTAGCTAGCTATTACATCTTAAATTAACCCATTTCTATTAATCTGTGTATCGCCATGTGGTTGTGGCCTACTGGTAAAGTTCTATCCAGCATCTGTTTCCTATAGCAGCTACATGGCTTCTCCTTGACTCCACCTACTCTCTTCTCTATCTGCTTGGAATTCCCTCCTTTTCCTATTCTGCACTGCAATAAGCCCAAAGCAGATTTTTTATTAACCAATGATATTCACAGCATACAGAGGGGAATCCCATATCAATATTCCAAAGGAATTCAATGATGATGTACCAGAAGCCAGAGGCCTTGAATCTAGAGAGAGACCAGGAAAGGCTCTAAAACTACACAGAAAACCAGAGAGAGAGAGAGAGAGAGAGAGAGAGAGAGAGAGAGATTAAAAAAAAGAAAATATTGAAGACTGCTTATGAGGGAAAAAAAGAATGACTGTATCAAAAGAAATAATGGTTGTTTATGGATGGGGGATAAAAAGGGGATGGGGAGGCAGGAGAAGGGGAGGAAGGGGGAAGTGGGGTTGTTACGTAAAATGAAAAGTAAAATTTTTTAGTAAAAAATATGAAAAAAAAACCCAACAGTTTAAAGGAAGTGGCCAACTGTAACTATGATCTCCCAAAGATGAAACAATAAATGAAGAGCATAGCTATTAGATTATTTAATGATAGGTTTGGTATTTTAGAATAGATCACATAATTTTTCTCTTTTATGATCTTCTTGTCAGAGGCAAATCAGAAACTGCTCACAAATTTTCCAACTATGCTTCTGTTTGCCAAGTTTATCAATCGTATCTTCGAGCAAATCCTCAACACAGTGAACACAGTGAATCAGTAACTAAACAAAATGCTTAATTTGGCAAGTATATTTGGAGAAACTAGAGATGACTACCTATAGATTTGGGGGGGACGGACCTATACCATATCAGGAAAGTTATTTCAAGAAAGGAGCCAAGTCCTTTACAAACTTAGCCAGGTGGTGGTGGCGTATGCCTTTAATCCCAGCACTAGGGAGGCAGAGGCAGGTGGATCTCTGTGAGTTTGAGGCCAGCCTGGTCTGCAAGAGCTAGTTCCAGGACACACTCCAAAACTACAGCGAAACCCTGTCTCAAAAAACCAAAACCAAACAAACAAACAAACTTAAATGGGACAAAACCCAAAAGTTCTGATCTGTCTCCCAGGAACCACTGAGGACATTAGCAACATGACTTTAAGGTTGCAGAACGGGAGTGTTTGGGCTCTACACAGGAGGGGCTGCCCATAAGAGAAAGCAGGGACTTTACACTGCTGTATCTAAAACTGAAGAAGGAAAAAAGAAAGCAAGTATGATTTTAAGTAGCAGTTAAGTTCAAGGTCTGGACAGCAATTAAAAAATAAAATTCACATCTGACAAGTTCCAGGGGTTTGAAAGAAGAAATTTTTAAAGGGTAAGTGTAGATTTAAATCATCATTGTGAAGGATGACAGAGAATTTTTGTAAGTAGGAAAATATAGTATGCATATTAACTATTTACTATCCAAAACCTAATTACTCTTCCAGAAATGAGTCCTAGAGAAACAAGTACTCATTGTTTAGAATGTGTTATCAAGGGATATAAACCGGGGCAGTCAAGGAAACGCATTATTTACATTCCCTAACCAAACCCTAGACCCTTGCTGTCATCCTCTGTATTGCTGTTTGGCTGTGTACACAATCATACTGTACTCTTCCAACACTATTATAGGAGCTGCCTTTATAGTACTACATGGTAAGTATTTGAGAGTGGAAACTTTATGTGTATCTCAGGAGTTCGAAACTCGGTTAAATTTAAATTTCAGTTAAGATACAAAGATAAGGTGACACAGGCAGAAACTCTAAAGGATCTACCACAACCTAGTTCAGAAAACATCACTAATTTTTACAAAATATGTATTACAAAAAGACAATTGAGGCAACATAAAATATTCAACAGTCAGGGGAAACACAACAATTTAAAAGTTTATTTTGATCATTCATAAGCCACACTTAGAGTAGTGTTCAAGTAAAATAATAAATTTGAACCTACTGTATGCAGCACTGTGGGATATAAAATGAGGATTTTTGTGGTAGCCTATGCCTTTGATCTCTTGCACTAGGGAGGCAGAGGCAGGCATATCTCTGTGAGTCCAAGACCAGACTGATCTACACAGTTGAGTTCCAGAACAGTGGGGCTTGGTAGAAAAACTGGGTCTCCAAAAAACAAAAACAAACAAACAAACAAAAAACCCGGGGTGGGTGGGTAGGGAGGATCCTGAAACCGAGGAATTAAAGTGATTGTTGCAAATGCTTTTAATATACGTGATAGAATGGGGGCAAAGGGGGCGAAAAGGGGCTTAATAACTATTGCAAACTGAATTTTGCTCTGCCTCTCAGACTTGAGCATTAAGACAACTGAATTTTTCAAGACTACTACAGTAGTCAGAGAAAGTTATATAGCTAACTTTCTTGGAATAATTTCTCTCCAAACTACCAATAAAACTGACTTTGATATTCGATACGCGTGGATAACACACTGTAAGAGGCCACTGCATGGTCCAAATTTAACGCAGGTATTTTTAATTCCACTTTTCACGCCCCCACTCACCCCTTTCCTTAAGCAGCCGCTTGTCACCTAGGTGGGTTTTCAGTTCTGGGAGAAGACAGGAGCTGTCAGCCCGGACCATGGCGTGCAGGGTCCAGGAACTTGAGAGAAGCCCTGGGCGCGTCAGGACAGAGCTCAAGCCCGAGCAGTTAATACCAGATGTCCCCCAAGACACCGACGGGAAGAGAGGTGCACAGCCCTGGGGAAACGCGTGGACCAGGACTACCCCTGACGACCTGGGGGCCGGGCGTAGGGGAGTGGCCACGTCCAGACCCGAAAACTTTGTGCGAAGCGGCCGGTGGGGTCCGCGCACAGCACAGCGACCCAGCCTCGACCCCCGGTTCCGCTCAACGCCTTACCGTCCTGCAGGAGCTCCCGCACGGTCGCCGTCACGGCCGCGGAACCTGCAGACCCACGGCCTGTCACGGCGAAGACTCGGTCTCCACCTTCCATGTTGGCAAGTGCCGGGTTGATGACGTCTGCGACAGCCCCGCCCTCCCGATGACGCAGAATCAAGGCGCCCCCGCCTGGCTAACGCTGGGGGAGTGTGTGGATGCCAGAAGCTGCAGTGCCCGCTCTGAAGGATAGAAAGGCTGCCGCATGGGCCTTCTCCTAGGCTGCTGGAGACGTGGCCATCGCTCCGACCTCCAACGCAAGTATTGGCCGGAGAACGCGGGCCTCTGGCGTAGGGAAGAAGGCTCCGGGGTGCTTAGCGGCCCGCCTCGCCCAGCACGTGGGAGCTAGCGCAGCCCAGTCCTTCCTGTGCCAAGTCCGGGTAGCAGGCGGGATATGCTGGGGAAGAATCGTTGCTAAGTGCTGCCCTAAATACCTTAGAAATCTAAACGTTGAAATATTCGTTACTACTTAGGTGAGCGGCTCTCGAACTACACTGCATTTTGCATTCCCTTAACATCGCCTCAGATTTCCCTTTTGTGCTTGACCTGAATTGTGATACAAATGGGATTGGTCGGCTGCCAGAGGCAGCGTGCCCAGATTCACATTAGATTTCAGTATTGATATTATACAAAACTCGTTTGTTTAGAATCATCAACGACGAATAACTTTATCTGAATTACAGAATTTTCATTTTTTACACCAAAAGATTTTATTCAGTGCATACTAACATTCAATAAAAGTTTAAACCTCCACTGTACATACCAGCCCAAATTTACAAATACAACTAAAAGAAATTCTAGGTGTACAAGCATATTTGAGCACAATATTGTGCCTGTTACTATCCAGTTTAAGCGGAATTATTCTGGTACTCTTCAAGCATGACTGCGAACTTTGGAGAACTTTATTTTTTATTTTATTTTATTTTTGGCTATTTAAAATTTTATTTCATTAAAGTTTATTTATTGATATATGTGGGAGGGGTCATGCCTTCGGAGGTCAGAGAACAACCCGTGGAGTCCTCTCCTCCTGGAGAACTTTAAAACAAATATTAATACCTTCATCCCATAAGCTCAGAGAGCTGTTTAACTGGTCTCTGTAAGTAGCTTATAAAGGATCAAAATAAAGTTTTTAATACTGTGTTTCCCCTGACTGTTGAATATTTTATATTGCCGTAATTACTTTTTGTGATAGATATTTTGTCAAAACTAGCGATCTTTTCTGAACTAGGTTGAGAGATTTTTTTTTACAATTTAGTCTGACCACAAGAATGAGTAAAAACAAAATCATGATTGAGAAAGTCAGTAATAACATCATGGCAACTTGCCACCTAGTATTTACCGTTTCTGTAATGTTTAAGACTCGCCTTTCCTTTGTAATAAACTTTTCTTAGTGTCTTACTGTAACTCCCTGTTTATTTTTCTTAGTACTATGACCATCTCTAATGCAGCTTATTTACTCTCCCTTTCCTCTGTTACTTGATTTTTCTTGCAAGCTAGGACACCCTTCACTATACTGGCCGTGTGTTTTTAGCTTACTGCCAAAGGTTAAAGACTGAATTTTGAATAATTAGCATTTTATAGGGATAGCTTTTATCTGACTAGATTACAGAGGCAAAAAATACAAAAAGCAACAAGTACTATGAAATTTTAAATTTTAAAATAGTAAAGTTTTGTGTCCCTTCTGATTCATCAATAATAAGAAATAAAAGTATCAAGACCTCTCATTTTTTAATTGTATGTGTGTGAATGTATCTGCAGTGGGTATATGCATGTGAGTACAAGTTCCCTCAGAAACCAGAGGTGTTGAATCCCAGAAGCTGGAAGTAGAAATAGTTGTGATCCTCCCAACCTGAGTACTAGGAACTGAACTCAGGTCCTCTGCATTAACAGTTAACCACTGAGCCATCTAGCCCCTAAATCTAGGATTTATTTTATAGTACAAATGTTCTGTTGATACCACCTAACTTTCCTGAATGATATATTTCAGATTGTCCGTCATACACAGTATTGTATGGGAATTCAAATCAGATTCCTTGGTTAATCAAGAAAATAAAATGGATAAAATGAGAAATATGAGGTTGGACATGGAGGCATACCAGTGCAGTTGCAATACCCCCGGGGCTGAGGCAAGAGAGTTACCAATTCAAAACTAACCAGGGCTTTGAATTGCTTCAAAAACCAAGCAAAAAAGTAACAAGCAAAATCATAAGATGATATACACTGGAGAGAAATCCTAGAGGTTTTTCATATCTTATTTCTCTAAAACTACCAGGTTCAGTGTTCCCGATTTATTCAGCCTATAAGTTGAGGCAGAATTTGGCAAGATCCTTCGAGTCTGAAGCCTCATGAAAAATATTGGTGATTGAAATTGCTAGAATAATAGTTTTTTGTTTTTCCAATACTGAGAATTGAACCCAGAGTCTGCCACATGCTAAGCAAGCACCCAACCATACAACAGAGCTATGTGATCAACCCAATAGTGGATGTTATGTAGTGAAATACATATTCTTTTTGCAAACTATCTTTCAGATTTAAAAATAAGTTGTATACATGAGGAGTGACTCCATACCAATCACAATATGTCAAGAAAGAAAAAAAGACCCAATAGAAATGTTTCATTCTGGACAGCTGGTGAAAATCTGTGCCCCAATGGTTCGATATTCAAAGTAAGTATTGTTAAGCCATTAATGAGGCAAATTTAATTTTTCTTATATGTACTAGGGGGTTTTTTTGGATTTTTTTTTTCTCCAGAGTTGTAAAATCACTCAACTACAAAGGCTTTGGAATCATGATTTAGAATTGAGTCCTTGTGCTAACACTCAACTGGTATGTTTGTGACCCTAAGTAGACAGTTTCTCCTAGCTTTTTTCCCCCAGAGTCTTGTATACCTCTGGCCACCTAAAACTTGCTAGCTGCTGAAGACCTGATCTTTCTGCATTCTTATCCCAAATGCTAAGATTACTGATATATGCCGCTGTGACTAGTTTAAATAACACTGCTGTCAGACCCAGGGCCTCATGAATGTTAAGCAAGCACTGTTCGAACTGAACTACATTCTCAGCCTAATATCTATAAAGATGACAAATATTAGGGTTCAGCAGATATTAGATGGATATAAATGTGAACATGCTTCTTAGAACCAAAACACAGTGGTAAATTGCAAGGCTTGAGGTGATTTGATGCTTAGGTTTGGTTTGGTTTGGTTTTCTTAACTACTAAACTTTTCTAGAATGGGGATTACAGTTTTACACTTTGAACAAACATTTGCTTACCATATGAGTAGTCTAGTTTCTCATCCTTATCAACTTTTAATAACGCTTTTTTATTTTTACCATTTTCTAGATCAGTAGAGTTGTATCATTATGGTTTTAATTTTGATTTCCTATGTAACTGGAGATATCAAATATCATTATGTGTCTGTTTGCCATTCAAATATTTTTTAAGAAATGTTTCTTCATATCTTTGCCCATGTTCTAATTGGTACTTTTTAACTATTGATGGTTTCTTGCGGGTTTTTTATGGTTATAAAGTACACATAATAGGCGTGTTGGCACACACTTATGAACAGCACTCATAGAGGATAAGACAGTAGAATTGCTGAGTTTCAGGACCAGCCTGGGCTATACATTGATTCTTAACTGTACAGGATTATGTACAGTTAGGTGTTGAGTACCTGATCTTTAAATCTCTGGACCCACTAAGCAATAATTCTTCATTTCTAACACCCCCAACACCTAGTCATTATTTTGCTTCCTTTCTCTGTGAATTTGACCATTCTAGATGCCTCGTGTAACTGAGACTTGTCTTTTTGAGACTAGCTTAGTTTACTTACCATTTTAAGACTATTGATTTCAAGATTCGTTCATATAATACCATAATGCCAGCCTTCCCCTCCTTGTGTAAGGGTTGTTAGATAGGTGTATATCAGTTTTTTCATCACTTGGTAAACAATTGGATTGCTTCCACTTCTTGGCAATTTTAGATAATGCTACTATGAATACGTGTATTTAAATATCTCAGACCATTTCAGTTCTTTGAGCTATAGAGTCAAATGAGGCACATGTTAATTCTGTGTTGCCTTTTCAAAGAAAATGCACTGTTTTCCATCAAGGCTGTGCCTTTGCCTACTCCCCAGCAACATACAAAGGTTCCAGTTCCTTCCACCTTTGACAAAACTTGTCGTTTTATTCTGTTTTTTAAATCATTATATCCATTCCATTGGGTGTAAAGTAGAATCTTTTGTGGTTGGATTTGCATTCCCTACTGGCTAGTAATGTTGAACATCTTTGCTTCTTTCTGTTTTTTTCATTATAGAAATACCTATTCAAATGCTCAGCCCATTCTGAATAGGTTTAAGATGTCTCATTTGTTTGCAGTGAAGTATTGTCTTTACATTATTCCAGTAGCTACTCCTATGTGCTTTGCAAATGTTTCCTCCTAGTATGTAGGCTTATCTTTTCATCTTTCTTTTTTTTTGGAGGGGGGGTGATTTGTTTTGTTTTGGGTTTTTTTTAATTTTTGTTTTCATTTTTCAACAAACAGGATTTCTTTGTGTGGCCTTAGCCATCCTGGAACTAGCACTGTACCCCAGCTGATCCCGAACTCACAGAGATCTGCCTGTCACTGCCTCCCGAGTGCTGGGATTAAAGGCGAGAGACACTTCTACCCAGCTCACTTTTTCATCTTCTTAATGGTATTTTTGAAGTCCAGCTTCTTTATATTTGTGTAAATCGTGGTTTGGATGTAAAGCTTAGGAAAGTGTTTTGGAGTGTGTCTAAAAGAGGGGTGAGAGCCTGGTCATGGTGGCACACTCCTTCAATCCGAACACTTAGAGAGGCATAGGTTGGTGAATCTCTGTGAGTTCAGGGCCAACCTGATCTACAGAGTACGTTCCAGGACCACCAGGGCCATGCAAAGAAACCCTATCCTGGAAAACGATCTGAAGGATGGAGGGAACGGAGCTGGCATATGTGCTGTTCCTCTCATCCTTATGTGAGATCAGAGATGAATTTATACGACAGTCCTGAGGGTCGGATTTGAGTCGTCAGGCTTGTGTAGCAAGCATTCTCACCCACTGAGCCACCCCACTAGCCCCTAGTATTGTATTTTTAATTTTA